GAGTTTTAAAGATTGTTTTCCTATTTTATTTAGAACATTATTTATAGGAATTTTGTTTACACTGCGAACACTTTCTAGCATAATTAATATGCTATGCCAGCGGGTAGGGCACTTTAATTTTAAAGTTTTTGCATTAATTAGATTGGTTGGTGCAATGCCATTTCTATTATCCGATTCATCAGACATATCAAAATGGGCATCAAGGTATGGATCAGAATCATCAATATCCAAGATATTACCTGTCTCATAAATTGACTGCAGTACGATATTCAGCCTCAATTTCCCATTCCAAATCTATTCGATATCTAAGGGCTGAAATAATTTCTCTAATTTTTTTTAATGAGAATATCAATTTTGGCAACTTTTTTTATGCCATCAACTGTAACCTAATTATGAAGTCCATGCCCTAAGCATAAATGATGCTCATAATCCCCTAATCTGACGCTTCTTTTGACATTGGCCCCAGCATCAGTTACCATTTGTATTATTTTGGCTTTTAAATGGAACTCCTCTTCAATACTATCAACCTCAGATAATATTGCTTACCCAGTATGCTTTTGAGTCACATTTCTAGTTGCTAGGGTAAAATATTTTAAATCAAAATTTCCATCTAAATGATGGAGACTAAATGTGATATAATTTCGACGCTTGAAATGATCAGTCCAATAAAAAGTGATAGAGCAAAATTTTGGTCCAGAATCAATCAGATTTTAAACATGCGCCTTTATAGATAAATAAACATCGTCTAGTGCACCCCGACTAATGGTTGTCCTATTTGGCAATTCTGACGAGGAATCAATTATCTTATATTTCTATTTTTCAGGCAATTTATTTTTTAATAATCATTTTATATTTTAAACCTTTAGAAAATCTGTCATTCCTTGTTAGTTTATGGAATCAAATGGCATAAAATCTAAGCAGCACATCAAAACATAATTTCGCCCTATTAGATTTCATATTTATTTTAAACATTAAAAAGATATTTAAAAAACATCAAAATAATTGGAGCTGGAAGGAAACAAATTATAAATTAGAGATAGTTTTAACTTTCAAAATAAAGCTTTACATAATTAATTTAATAAATTATATATTAAGTTTATACTTTAAAATGATATTTAAAAACAAAATAATTAGAGATGGAATGAAACAAATTATAAATTTGATTTAGTTTTAACTTTCTAAAATAAAGTTTTAAATAATTTATTTAATAAATTATATATTAAGTAATAATTTAAAAAAATATTTAAAAAACATCAAAATAATTAGAGCTGGAATGAAACAAATTATAAATTAGATTTAGTTTTAACTTTCAAAATAAAGTTTTACATAATTAATTTTATAAATTATATATTAAGTTTATACATTAAAAAAACATTTAAATAACATAATAATTAGAGTTGGAATGAAACAAATTATGAATTTGATTTAGTAGTAACTTTCAAATAAAGTTTTACATAATTAATTTAATAAATTATATATTAAGTTTATATATTAAAAAGATCTCAAAATAGAGCTGGCAATAAATAAACTAAAAATTTTATTGTTTTGAACTTTCAAAATAGTGCTTAATAATATTAATTTAACAAACCATAAAAATTTTAAATGAATAATAATAAACAATAATACTAACATAAGAGCCATTTTTTATCTTTTATATTGTTGCTGTATCTTGGTGTTGGTTTTAAAAACATTTTTAGACTTTGAATGGATTTATTATTATTCATTTTTTCTGATAGTTTGTGATAATTAATTAAGTGCCGAGATAGATTACTTGTACTTATGTTTTTACTAAAACATTTTATTTCATAACTAAAATATAAAATATATATAAATATAAGTCTAAAAAAATTACTGTGAAAATGAATTATGTTTATTCGAATTTTCCTTATCTTTTTTCGCCAATTTTAAACAAGGTTCACAATAAATATAATAAGGCATTATTGTGCTTTTCTTATTTTCATTCTTCAAAATAAGATTTCCAAAGTACCTCCAGACATAACTTGATTTATGATTAGTAGAGAGAGTTGTTATTACATAATTGCATATAGGGTGGTTTAAAACGTGGAAGTCCATAAAAATAATTAATATGAATTGTTTGTGGAAATAAAATATGATGTATTAATGAATGCAAATGATATACACTTAATCTATTATATATAGCAATAGATTACAATTCATATTTTAATTTTTTTAATGTTAGTATTCAAATTAAATATTAATAATTTAATATATAAATATAATTAATATGCTTTCTAAAAATTACACACGCCGCGCCGCCAGCCATAATAAAAATCGGCGGCGCACAGGTCTAGTCACGATACATACTTTGATCTAACTGGGTTTAAATCTACCCGACTCCGGATAAGACCGTATACCCGGATTTATACCATAATTCATGCCAATTCTCTTAGTCTAATTTTCTAAATGATGCAGCCAGAATTAAGTATAGTTTGCAGTTTATATATATATATATGCTTCTTTCAATCTAGTCAACGTTCGTTAATGTTTTAAAGATATAAAATATCAAATTGAACCCTAAACCTTTGAGTAAAACTCGAAGAGTTAGCATATCAGATTCTGTTATACAAATTAATCATATTTACGACTTCACGAAGAATTGGTCAACGATACATTTCTTAGTTGTCCGTTACAATAACACAAAACAAAAGATTTAAACGGAATATCTAGTGAAATAAATTTGAAATTTCAATTTATTTTGTACTTTAATACTTTGGTTATTTGATTCTATGAGATATAAACTTTCAGTAGCTTCACTAGAGAAAAGTAGGTAATTTTGAAAATAATTTTAAAAAAAATTTTTTTTTTGAGTCCCCTGAAATAGTAAAGGCTAGTTACGCCACCGTAAATTTTTATAGTAAACTGATTCAAAATTTGAAAGGGTCCTCATCCATCATTATTGATGTAATCAGAAATTTCTAAAATAAGTCTGTAAAAAACCCATAGAGCAGTGAAGTTGTCTCAATGCTAATAAAAGCTAAAACATTGGCAGAGACGCCATAATTTAGAATATCCCTAATTACCCAATCCTTTATATCACCTCCATATTCTTTGTAGTTAGAGTCATACATAGAAAAGCACCATCTCCCCCCTTAATTTTCTCTATTTTAACACGATTAAAATGCCCAAGATGAAATATAATATTTTCCTTTGGCACTCCTTCCCTTTAACGCTTCTTAGCCTCCCTTAATCTCCGTTATATAACTTCATTTGCTTATTAGCATTACTTTCTATGTGAACCATCTAAAGCTATATCTCTCTACAGTTCTCATTCAGATAGAAAGCAATTTGAACTCAGTACATTCTAACGGAATAGTTTTAGAGAATCATACTAACACAGCTGAAGTGCTTTTTTTTTCAAAACTAATCATTTATGTTTCCACATATCGCTAGGTATCACTTCTACAATCGTAAAAGCCTGCTCTTCTTATAGATTCCATCTTATATTTTTAAATCTATATTCAAAATGATACCAGAACAAATTTTTAATATCTCATATCTCATTACCTTCCACCGGACACACTTATTAGAGTTCTGCAAAGTAGTTTTTCACGGCCTGAGCCTGACCCGACCCTTGAGGGGAGTGGGGCTTCGAATAGCCCGTGCAAGCCTCTAACACACTTCTGCTATCGAGGGAGGGAGATATGATTTACTAATCTATTCCTTGAGTTTCTTCAAATTTTTGCTATATTTTTTTTTAGATGATGGATAGACGTTAAGTTTTTTTTGGAGGGGGGGGGGCTGAGTTGGGATTGTTGGGTGGGTACGAAAAATATTTAAGAAAGTATGAGGGGTGATTTTATAAAAATAATCGTTGACGTTTTTATCGCTTGGCTTATTAAAAATTTATATGTATATTATATTTAAAAATAAAAATATATAGAAAATGAATATATCAATTTAAAATTGGAAATGCAACAATAATTAGCCACTGACTCTTTAATACAGTATATTTTATCTTATTCTTATTTTATTATCATTATTTTAAATTTTTTTTACAATTCAATTTGTTTCTTTATTTGAGTAAAATATAGAGCTAATATTTTGAAAGATTTACTATATATAGGGGAAGACTCGGGTTATTAGAACCGATTTTTTGTAAGATCGGTTATAACTCCGAAAAGCCATATTAGACCTTTTAAGTCTATTTAATCTTAAAACGAAATTAAGTGGTTTGACTAGCCCACGGGGGTTCACCTAACCCCAGGTCTCCCATATACCTAACAATAAAATAATTCTATATATTCGTATCGTATTCAAAATTGGAAATCCTTGAATATTAAATTTAAATTTGATAATATTTAATATATTTTTTCATAGTTAGAATTAGCAAATTATTCGATTTATTTGAATTATTCGATTTGAATAATTAGATTTATTTGAATAATTCGATTTAATATGACAATCAAAATTGATCATTTTCTTATCTTCATTTTTGAGTATTCCAAAAAATTTAAATAATATAACTTGCTTGTGGTGTCGAAAATTCTCGAAATTTAAAAAAAAATTATATATTTCCGTTAAAAAGAAAAATTAAAATAATAGCCCACTCATTGTAAATTTTAGACGCTTTCGCAATCGTGTTACTCTTAATTTTGTATTAGTCATTATACATATGACTTTCACGAACGCGGTTTAGTGTTGTTAAAAGGACTCCATTTTGCGGCGGATTTTTTTAGGAACGACTAACTCCATGTTTTATCCAGGAAAATATTACTCAAGCCCTCGAAGATATTGGTCGTAGATTGCGCAGAAGGTTAAGACATCTGTAAGCCAAATATTGAAGGCTTAATGAAATATATACTACTTGGCTTAAATATTGAGTTAACTGTTTTTTTGATTCGGTTCAAATAGAGCTCTGAACAACTCTAATTCTGTCGAGGTAGCTACAGGCGATCGTCATAGACTCATTTTATATAAAAGAAGCAAATTCATAGCCGTTAGTTTCTTAGAGTAGTTAGAAGGATAAATATAATTTAGAAATGACGAAAACATACGAAAATATGAATATGAAAGCTAGGGCGTTCCCTCCAAGCTACTCGCAGGGTGTAGACCTCCATCCCGTGAAAAGTAAAATAAAGGGCAAAGCAAAGAAGACAAGATTAGCAAGTTTGAATTTTGGGACGCTTAAAGGTAAGACGAGAGAATTGGCATCAATGTTGAACAAGAGAAAAGTTGATATAGCGTGCATACAAGAGACGAAATGGAAAGGTCAAGAGACTTTAATGATTGGAGATGGGTATAAATTGTACTAAAATGGAATTGTTAGCAACAGGAACGGTGTGGGCATCATCCTCAGTCAAGATTTAACCTCCAGGTTCTCTGATAGACTAATTAAAATAAAACTCTGCATTGTTCAATCAATACTACACATTCTTTAAGTATATTCTCCTCAAACTGGTTGCAAAGAAGAAGAAAAGGATAGAGCTATCCTTGATGAAGCTGTAATGGAAATCCCTAAGGATGATTTAGCCATAATAGGTGGAGACTTATATGCGCATGTGGGGAAAGCAAGAGATAGCTACAAAAGACATCATGATGGTTTTGGATATGGAGAAAGAAATGATGAAGGAGAGCATGTACTGAAATTTGCGCAAGCCTTCGACCTTGCCTTAACCAACACTTACTATAAGAAAAAGGATAGTCATTTAATAACATATGAAGGTGGTACAAGGAAAACCCAGTTAGATTACATGCTTATCTCTAGCAGAAGATTAAAAGATGTAATAGACTGCAAAGTCATCCCAGGAGAAGATTTTGATGCGCAACACAAGCTGCTAGTCATGGATTTACACCTCACAAATAAATACACTCAAAACATAATAAAACTTGAACCATACATCAAATGTGGTAGATTTTAAATAAATGACAGATGCCTTTGCAATCAATGCAAACATTGAAACAAAATATTCCTCACAAGTCAGTGAAAAAATGTGGATAGACCTTTCATCCAGTTTACTGCCAAATCGACATTAGGCTTGACAAGGGGAGGCAGCAAGTCATCAAAGAACTATGGTGGTGGAATAAAGAGGTACAAAATTATACTTGTGTAAATCGTTTTGCCAGATCTTTTTCTGTCAACTCTACCATGAAAGCTGAAAATACCTAGACAAATAAATATAGCCACCACCTTGATAATCTTTTGTTTGTTCTGGTAGTCTCACACTTATATAACATTTGGACTTCAAGTAAAATTATTCAAAACAATAGAAGCAAAGTTTAATCACAGGTGATTCAAAAAAAGAATATCAATCGAAATTTGCCGATCCAACTGTATATCTATATATGGGTCATTAAGTCCCGCCCAACTAACCTAAATATATATTTTTTTAAAGTTTTCTATCCTTACTTTTATATAGATATGGTAAGTTAATATTTAAAATCAAAATTTTATCTTATAGAAGTTTTAGTTAACATTAATTTGTAAATAAAAAAAAAAATTATTATATAAAAAATATATATATATTAATGATTATAGAAAAATTTTATTAAAAGATTTTATAAACTCCATTAAATCATGTATACCTACGAATTCAGTTTTTGAATCAAACTGACTAGAGAAATTTAAAAACATCCCGAAAGACATTTTTTGACAAGATTTCTGAAAATGTAAATCTTTTTTTTTATAATCCGTTTCAAAGTGATTTTAAATTCCCTAATATTTTGCCTTAAATATGTTTAATTAATTGCATTGTGTTTCAGCTCCAGTTAACATAACATTAATGATTAAAATAGAATTATTGACAAAATATTTTAGGCAATGTTTCATTAGTGTATAATAGAGTGCATTGAATAAAATTCCCTCCATCTTGTTTTTTTTTTAAAATATTTGCCATTTGAATAAGAACTATTTTTTTTTTGAATTTCCATATAAAATATAAAATTAATTTATCGATTTATTGAATGACCATATGGCGTTAAATATTATTTTCTTATTATCTTCTCCGATAATTTGCTTGTTGCGTCATATACACATGGAATTTCATCTTTGGTGAACGGATCTAAGTAAAAAAAATAAATAAAAATAAAAAAAGGAAAGAAAGGAAAAGAAATGCAAGTGAAGTCCTACACTAGAGAATACTCCCTTGATAAAGAACCAGTCAGCATTTTGCCTATAGGTTTCACGTCAATCCTAATGAGGTTAGTGACTCAAATCTATAGAGTATACTTGCCAATTTATGGGCTGCAATATAAGGTCGCTGCATTTGGTGTGCCATGAGAATCGGTCTTCGGTTAAATCCGCAGTGATGACAAGGGTCTACGCTTGCTGTCAACAATGGTTACGCGGTTTTTTAAATGTTAAGGCCAAACAATTTAGCTTTTAAGCCTTTAGCGCCTTATACCAATAATAACGCATCTCACTTTCTCTGCCATAAGGAGCGTATTTAAACATAAATATAAATTATATATATAAATGAACTATATTTGTTTTTTTTTACATATCTATTTTATAAGGTAAGATAGAAACATTTAAAAAGTAAAGAAAAGATTATATCAGAGACCATGCTGAGGTCTAAAAAATAATTTTTTAAAATTGTACAGTTAATTTTAAAAATTAAAATTATTTTATTTTTTTTTTGAATTATATTTGAATCGCTTTTAGATTTGTTTGTAATAAAAATTATTTGTTTCCCAGCCCTATTGGTACTAGCATATCCGTTATTTTTTTTAACATATAGGATTATATAATATTACATAATATTTTTAAAATATCTATATTTATCCCTCTAAATTCTCAAAGATCTCATAATTATATTATTATGCAATGCTTCTAAGAATAAATTTATATTTCAATTCCATGAGTAATAATTCGGCATATTTTATTAAATGTATAAAAACGCGGCCTAGTGGGTTTATGATGTATACCTGGACGCCGATGGTAAAAGATTCAGTCCTGATAAGGAACTGTAAAATTTTCCCTTTATTCTTCGATTACTGATGTATAAAGACATACGATAAGATAAATTTCTGAGCTTAGAAATGCCACCCCGGTCACCGACAGGCTTGGACAGCTGGGTGCTAGGATATTTGTTCGACAAACAAAATGAAGGAATTTGATATAAGAGATAGCATGAATAAGATAAAGTGGAGAGAGATATTGAAGCCGCATATCACCAGAAAAAGGTGAAAGCTAAAAATAAAAAAAATAAAGAAAAAAAGGATAAACTTTATTTTAAAAAAAATCAAATGTAAAAACTTTTCAATCAAAAGGCTATTTTCTTTATTTATTCCCAACTCCATAAGTATTTAAAATTTTGACATAAAAAAATATACATGCTCTAGCCCGCATATCCAAAGGTTCTGGTAAAATTTCTAGCAACATTTTATACTATTCTTAAGTAATACTGTAATACTTACTATACATTAACTCTAAATTAGGCAAACCGGATCTTACCCCGTGTCTAGTTTTCGGTAAAATTAATCAAAAGAAATTATATTTAAATTCATGTTTAATTCATCTTTTATTTATTATTTTTTAAAAAATAAATTTAAAAAAGTAGAACAGTCATCGAGTTCTTAAGACTTAAGACTTAGATAGTTGCTTCGGAACACGCATGATGAGAATCCACGATCCTCATTCTATTTTCTTGTTACTCAAAATATTAGAAAAAATTAATAGCCTAGGGAACCTAAGAGCTCATTGGTAAACTATCGGAATAAAATGAAAATCCTGAAAAGTCATAAAGCTTTCGTTATTTAGATCTTTCAAAAGTTGTTAATCAAGTAAATTTTTCAGAGTTATAGGGGGAAATACACCAAGGGATATTTGTAGATTATCTGATCTTATGTCATCAGACAGGGATATTTAAACGGATTACAATATATTTTGATGATTTGTCAAGTTTAATTAATTCGAGATCATCAAAATAATTGCTCTGTGAGGACCGAACCGTTTTTGAAAATAAAAGCAAGCTGGGCCATGTTTATCATTAGGGCGTTCTAAAACCCTTTATGTTAATGAAATAGGCATGCTAAAGACTAATCCATATATTATACGAGATATTTTCACCATCATCCAGCGTTGTAAATCCAAATTAGACCTTTTGAGTGGACATTTTAACAATAGACTATACAGAGACCGATGGGCAACCCATCAGGCCTGGGGGGTTAATATAGACTCGGGGTTCAGATCTCCCTCATAAAATCAGTTTTAAATTTAATTTAAAATTCTTGAATCCTTATTCGTGTCACATCTGATATCTACAGACCATGATTGGCACTACAAAAATCTTATAGCCATTTATAGCCAGAATAGGGTAAATATATGTGAATAGGAGTATTTTTAATTTAGGCATTATTATCTATCAGTTTTTTAAATGTATTTAATAATGACACTCGTTTCACTGTATTACCTTTTATTTTTCATATTGAAATTTCTACTACGATGTCAAACAATCGTATTTGTAAAAATATTCTTGAATATGATATGCTTGGTTATAATAAATTTAAACACAGAAGCAATGTTTGGTAAGTGTTTATTATTATTATTTTTTTATTAATAATAAATTTATTAAAAGTAAAATTTAAATTCTTATAAGAATTTTTCTTATATAATAATTATTGATTACCTATATATTTAGTTAGATACATGAATCAGACCCAATAGTACATGCTGTAAAATGCAAAAGGAGTCAATTTTTGATCGATCATTTAGATATCGAATCTGGAATATCCCTTTATTTGAAGAAAAATGAATTAATAATTATTAAGGTAAATAATTATTTTGGAAAAGCAACCTCAGTGGAGTTATTGATTATGACTTCTTTTTTAATAACTTTAGCCACATTTGTGTCATTTATAAATTCAAATGTGTAAATGTAATATTTGAATGTGGAATTAAGGTACAACATTTGAGAATATCTAAGTTACCTATTAAATTATAGATTTTGACGATATTATTTTTCTAGGTTGAAGATTTAAATTTCTTACACCATGAATTTACTTTTTTTTTGCATTCTACAGCGCGTACTATTGGGTCTGATTCTTGTATCTATGTAAATATATAAATAATCAATAACCATTAGATCAGAAAAATCTTTTATAAGAATTTAAGTTTACTTTTTAATAAATTTATTTGATAAAAATAAAAATATAAACCACTTACCAACCATTGCTTCAGTGTTAAATTCTTTATAGCATATCATACTCAGGAATAATTTGCAAATACGATTGTTTGACATCATAGTATAAATTTCAATATGAAAAATAAAAGCAATAATATATTTGGTGATTTATATATCAGATCAACAAAAAATAGTCGATTTTCAACTCGACCCTTTTTAATTTTTCTTAAATTTTGTATACTGGTAGTATATACTATCTTCCAACATTGTTTACCCGCTAAGATATGGCCGTTTAAAGCGCGGAAAAATGGTACATTTTTGACAAAATGCACCTCATTTATTTTCAAATATCTCGAGTAATAATTAAGTTAGAAAATAATTTAAATTTTATTTTGTAGCTTAATAAAAGTTCTTTAAAATGACATAAAAATATATATGAAGGACATTTTATTAATATCGAAAACAGGATGTGTAAAACCGGAAATGGCCATAGAAAAATAAGGTATTATTTTTTAGGAGTTATCACTTTTTATATGGCTAAAATTGAACAAATTTAACATTAATATCATCATATTTTATAATGAATAGTTATGAAATGATGTTAATTTAAAAATTATGTCTTTTTTAATCTTTATAAAAAAAATTTGAGAGGTGGCTGGGATAATGAGCTGTTTAAAACTTTAGTTAAATTTTATCTCGAAATTCAAATTACTTGACAAAATAATTTTAAATATTTTATTTAGCATAAAATAATCTACCAAAATTGAAATTCAACAATAAATTTTCCCCCATATATT